CTCTGCCTCTCGAGTGCTAGGATAAAAGGCATGCGCCACCACGCTCAGCAATAGGTGCAACTTTTAAGTTGAGGTTCTTAATAGTTCTGGAATGGCAAGGTGAGCTGGGTGGTTGCTAGTTGATAGGTCATGATGGGAGAGTTCACAGGCCTTGGGGACACAAGGATCCCAGTAACCCAAGCAGGTCAGAGTGCAAAGCAGATCTGGGAAATTTCCAAGCAGCATGAAGTGTCATTACTCAGCTGAAATGGTGATGGTCAAGCACAGGAACACATGGGAAAGAACATTTCCAGGACAGGCCTAGGACAGCTCCCAGATCTGGGTGTCCACAAGGGTTCCAACAGAACAGAGATTGCAGCTGCGAAGGAGGTGTGGGAAAGGGAGCACACCAAGGCTGGTCTGGGAAAACTCTCAGATCTGGGGGTCCACAAGTGTCTTAAAAGAGCATCTGTGAAACATTTTAATTGTTGATTGCTCTAAGAGGGTCCAGCCCACTGTGGATAGTGCCATCCAGGGGCAGATGGATCTGGGCTGTATAAGAAAAGTAGCTAAGTACGCCAGAAAGAAGCAAGCTAATAAACAGCCTTCCTCTATGGTCTCTGCTTCCGTTCCTGCCTCCAGGTTCCTGCCTTGAGTTCCTGCCCTGACAACCCTCAGTGATGGGCTATCACTTGTAAGAATAAGGTGAAATAAAACCTTTCTTCCCCAAGTTGCCGTTGGTCCACGGTGTTTATCACAAGCAATAAAAAGTAAAACAATGTCCAAGATTAAAAGTGGCAGGTACATAGCCTGGGTGTGGGATACCTATAATTACAGCACTTGGGGGATGGAGGAAAGAGGACCAAAAAAATGCACAAATGAGACAGGTTTCATATTTATAGATATTAAAACTTACTATGAAGCTACGAGTAATCAATATAGTACAGGAGTGACTCAAGGGCAGACATCTAGATAAATGAGACAGAATAACTAAAAATATAATGCTAAACTTGTAGTTAATTGATTTCAGAGGGAGCCAAGAAAATTCAATGGAAAAGGGCCCCCCCCCTTTTTTTTAAAAAAACAGTGAAACAACTGAATAAACAAAACATGTACAAAAGAACCCAGTTACTATTTCACTGTACACAAAATTTATTCAGAAAGGGCTATAGATCCAAATGTGAGAGCTGAAACTCCAAAACTGGTGAGAAAACAGGGATGAACCTTCATGACCTCAGATTAGACAAAGCTTTCTTAGATGTAACAAAAAGCACACAGACAGCAAAAGAAAAAAGGCTTCTCAGGACTAAATTGGATTTCATCCAAACAAAAAAAGTTGTACTGCATGTATCACCAAGAACGTGCGAAGAAAATCCCACAAAACAACAGAATATATTTGCAAATCTTGTGTGATAAGGGACTTGCCTCCAGAATGTGTAAAGAATTCTTAAGTTCACAGCTCAGTTAAAAATGGACAAAGGAGTTGATTATTTTTCCAAATAATATCTACAGGTGGCCAGAAAGCACTCAGAAAGATGTTCAACATTGTGAGCTTTCAGAAGAGTCCAGTGGAAGAAGAGGCAGGTGCATGGGAGAGAGGACATAGTGAATGGGGCGAGGCTGTGTGGAGAAGGAAGTTGGGCCAAGGACACAATGGAAAATTGTG